GTTTCAGTTTTTTCTGTTATTTTAACATTACTTTTATTTACATATGTGGCACTGCAGTAACACCGAACCCTTTGGGAAATTCACACACCACAGCTGCTAATTAAAACTCAGTGAGGAAATAAACTGTTAGCATCTATTGATTTTATCTCAGAGTGAGTCTCAGAATGAATTTGGTTGAGGTCTGTAAAGTGAGCTGGTGGAAGAAGTGAGGTCTGTGGGCTTACAACAGGTGAAGAGTGCATAGATCTTCAGGAGGCTAGGGCAGGTTCATAATTTCTAACCACATGCTGACGTTGAGAAAGTAACATTGAAATTTAATACACTGCAGAGAGAGTGTCCAGAATTGGCAGAACAAAGAGGAAGTGCAAACTTGTCTCAAATGCTGAATTTCACAGAGTCATTGATCTTGATCTGGATTTCACGAGAGTAGCTTAAAGGCCATCCTGCCATGCATGAAACAGCAGCCGAACCTTAAATGTGCTCGCCTGCTGGTCAGTCGGCCGCCATGTGTGGGTATGTGTGTGTTTCTTAGTGCAGGGAGGGGTCAGTGGCAGAGAGAACAATAAAGACCAGATGGCCTGTCTCTCTCTCCACCTGCCCCAGGCCTCTTTGTCCTCTCTCACACACTTCACACACTTTAATTTCCATGACTGCTCCCTGTATTTCCCATGTTTCCTATGCTTTTAGGTCTTTTCCAAACGTTGTGACAATCGTTTCATCTTTCAGATACTCCACAATTCAACTCAAGTGTGGAGTTTCTTGGTTACATTTCAGAGCTTACAACTATGGTAGATGAAGAATACATTATGGTTTCAGTTTAAAACCTCTGCATGCACATGCAAAGCTTGTGTCTGACCAATGCACAGAACCACACCCAGACACATTGCATTTGATTCCAACCGATACCATGTGAAAACAATGGCAGCATGTTGTGAGAGAGATAACACAGAAGGGGTGTGGTACTGTGAGAATGAAGCACGATTAAGGCCGTTGCCATATTTCTGGTTGCTGTGTACAACAAATAGAGGCTGCACTGTATGTACTGTATGGATGCACCTGTTCAACGTCTTCTCTCCCAATACCAAAAGCACTCAAACCTACAGCTGTAATTCTCAGGCCACTTACACCTAGCGCATCTCAAACTCTGCACCTTATCGGCTTCGCACTTGCCATGTGTATTGCTAAGGGCCCAGGGAAGCACAGTGTCTAATTAGGTTTGATTTGAACACGTGATATGGTTGATATTAATAAAATGTAAAGAAACAGATGACCAGCTGTGTTGCAGCGATGGTGCAGCTTCAGGCTCTTACAGCAATACAAAAGCAATACTATCAGTGCACTAGTTTATATAAACTAGTATACACAATGACAGAAACACACACACACACTCACAAACAAACAGATTCTCTTGAGGTTATAACATTGCTGCCCCCATATCAATTCATCTACTGGACTACACTGTATGTTCTGTATGGATGCACCCATTCAACCTTTTCTCTTCCAATACCAAATGTTTTATCTCAGTTCATGCTATTTATATTGATCACCAATCCAATGCCAGAGACCTGTTTATCAGCTTTAAATCTGTGTAACACACTAACTGCAAGACCCAAACCGGGTTATTTTTCTTTTACGGTAACATGAGGAGAGGCAGAGCCCCATGACTTGAATGTGACTAATGTGAAACATAGTTCTAAAACACACAGAGCCAATAAAATGGTCCAAGATCTGATTTGACCCAGTTTACTATCAGTACTTTAAATGACAGTACTCTTTTTCCTGAGTTGTGTTGATGTATTAGTGAGTGAGTGTGTAAATGTGCGGGCATGTGCACTCTGCCTTTACCTCCTGCTGGCATTACATGCCAACTGGTTTTAGCTTTCAGTGACAAAAGGACAAGAAGCATGGCTGCTAAGGCAAGTATTTGCCAGAATGAGGTCTTGCACTCACAGAATTGAACATATTTCTTGGAAAGTACAATGTTCTGTATCAGAGTGTCACTGCTGTGCAGGGATGCACATGTGAAACTGTAGTGGGTTCAATTTAAGTTTGTATTAGTTCAATAGCAACAATGAATAATAATGAGAATATGTTTATGTAAAATACTCCCAATAATGTGCTAAGTCAGTAGTGACTAACTCAGCCTCAGTGTTCACAACCCAAGTTATTATAGCCATTGTCTTTAAATTCAATGTCAAGGCCTGATAATACTCACACTTACATGCACACACATACATACAAAGCATCCAGATGTCAGTGTTGATGCCATGATAAAAGACAAAAGCAGCTTGTCCTCTTTGTGATAAGACCTGATGGAGTGAATCCTACAGAGCACAAAGCAGATGCTATTTGTCATTTTGAGATGCACATCTCCCTTTTCCCATTGTGGCTCTTTCTTTATTCGTGTTCGAACAAAGAAAATATCCCTTCTGGGATCAATAAAGCAGAGCATTATTCCTTTTATTATTAGTATAATGGAGAGGGTTATAAAAGAGCACCTAGTCCTCCTGGACTGGACACCCCTAATACATGGTGGTTTTCAGCTGTCTGTCTCCACAAGTCCCTGAGGTTAGCTTGTTCTCTGAGGACGAGAATCAGAGTGAAAGTAAAAAAAAATATGCAACATCTAAATCTGCACATCATAGCAGCTTTCTTATTATTAATAACAAGCTCCAAAATGGTATATTTTTTTATTTCTTATTTGGTAAACGGTCTGTTTAATTTCCTGGTCTTGTTGACCACTCAAAGTGCTCTACAGTACAGTCGATTGCCATTCACCAATACATTCATACATTGCATCTATGAGCAGCACTTTTTTGTATGAGGGGTCATTCTGGGTTCAGCATCTTGTCCAAGGACATTTCAGCAGGCAGATGGGGAAGACTGGGATTGAACTGGTGACCTTCTGGTTGGAGGATGACTGCTCTACCCCTCAGCCAAAGCCGTCAAAGTCCATTTTTCTTTCTGCAACAATAATAATAATAATAATAGTACATCTTAGTTGTATAGCTCTTTTAACAATGCTCAGAGACACTTAAAAGGATTACAAAAACAAAGCACATAAAAACTAACAATATAAAATACACCTCATAATCAGATATTGAAAATTAGAAGCATTAGCAGCACAGGAAATCTAAGCACAAACAGGCAATACTTGAGTGTGAGCGCAGGATTTTGAGTGAGAGCATCACAAAATCTGGTGTGGAATCAATAAGTCAGCTCTTGTTTTGTCTCCTCTGGTCAGAGTCCTTCAGATTTACCCTCTTCTGTGTCATGTCCAAACTCCCATGTTGTTTGTTTTGCCTTCAAGCAAATTCCCTGCCTGCATCTGCATCATCCTGCAGAACATAAAGCGCTGTCCAAATGATGATACAAATTGTTGTTGTGGTGTAAAGAAATAGACGATATAAATAATGCAAAAATACCTATTGTTATATTGCACAGCTAGACTGTACAACACAGTAGACAATTTAGTGAGCGTTATTTCAGTTTGAATTATTTACCCTCTCACTGTCTCTATCCACCAAACAAATGGAACCCCCATCTATTGAACCCCCTCCTTTTGATGTCTGTGTGCCCATGCCCCTTTGCCAATATCACCTCTTTCTCTTTCTCTCTCTCTCTCTCTCTCTCTCTCTCTCTCTCTCTCTCTSTCTCTCTCAAACACACACACACCCACGCACCGTCCTCTCCTTGTCCTGGCATGGACTGAATAGCCCATTACCCCTGGAGAAAGAGGTGGTTTGTGGTTGGTTGGTCGAGGGACCCTCCTCCCATCCCTCTTGTCCCACAGGGAGACAGAGAGACATTGTTGTGCTCTGGATATATATTTGTGTTTTTAATTATTCATTCAGTTGTACTCATTTTGTTTAGCCTTGTTTGTGCATTTGTCAAATATATGATGGACTGGAAGTGACAACGTAGTACATGAGTATGCGGATGTGAATTAAAGAGCAAAGTTGATGAAGTGTTGTGAACTATTTAACTCACAACTTAGGACCAAAAGGCTGGCAGCCCCCTCTTTTGAAACAATTGAGGTGGATGTGTTCACCCACTCACCAAAGTAGTTAAATGAAAATCATGCATCCAGTTAGAAAGCCTACATCTTGCCTTACTTGTTGCTTATATCTCCCAGTGCTTTTTCAGACATTGAGGTTTTTACTTCATTTTCATCACATTGAAATAGATGGAAATGGGATTTCTTCATGGGCCTGGTATTGTGAGCCTCCTTATGCACAAACATGTTATAGAACTGGAGCAGAGGGAGGTTGTTCCTGCATCTTTGAACAATGCATTGTTGTTTAGGTCAAAGATTTCATGTTGTAAGTTTTCAGGCACATCAGCTGGTCCCAGACTCAACAAATATGTTCTCTGTCTTGTGTGTACTTCTCTTTTACTGAAACCTCTCACCAAATGACTGAAGGGGTTTTGCAACCTTTCCAGAAGATTCAGTCATATCGGGACTGTTTTGGTGCAGAGTAGGAACACAAGTGGACAGCTCTAAGTACAAGTGCGAACGCACTCAGATCAGGTAGTGAGCCAATCACACCAGACCACATAGTGGTCTGGGCCACATGTGTCTGCAATCTTTTAGCAGTGTGAATGCGAAAGTGGTCCTGGACACATTGAAGGACCGCCTACAAAACTGACATCCTCTATTTTCAGAATGTAAGCTTGTGGTCAAAAGCACGTGGAGCAAATGCTTTCAGATTGTTTTCACATGGTTCAAATTAGTTGTTTTTGTTTACTTTGTCTCTAAATAAATCATGGGTGTATTTGGTGCGTAACAAGCAATAAACTGTAAGTTAGGGTGTGATGAAGAGCAAAAAGCTTTTAAAACAACTAACAGTTTCTTTGTTAACCTGGTAGAAAAGTGGAAAGAATTATCAGCACAAAAGGCATTGTTATCAGCCAAATTATTTCTTCTATCTTCTGTATCAGCTCAGAATTTCAAAGTCAGTTCATGCCTAAATTAAATTTTCCTATTTTTTGCTTCTCAGGAACCATCCGTCCGGTGCGAAGGAGTTTCTATGACCCCACTTCGGCCCCGGGTCAGGGCTGGCAGTGGGAGTGGGAAAACGATGCAGGTTCATGGACGCCCTACGACATGGAGGTGGCCATTGCCATTGAGAGTGCCCACAACCGCCAGCAGCCTTGCCTCGACCTGACACCACTCGGCTTCTGCTACCTCATTGATTTTCAAAACATGACACAGGTTTGTTTCATTCTTTACATCAACATCAATGACTTTTCAACTTTAACTTCGTCCCTGTCTGAAGTTCTTTTACCAAATAGATATGTGAGCTGGAACGTTAACACATTGTAAACGTGTTTTTGTTTTTTTGTGCTACAGGTGAACAGACAAAGCCAGAGGTGTCGGAGGATCCAGAGACGTGCTGATATGGCCTATCCTTTAGTATCTGGTCCTCTCCCTGTACCCAAAGGCGGAGGAGTTGGAGTAGGTGGAGGGCTAACAGGAGCCTTGCTGGGCGTGGGAGTGTCAGGGGCCAGCATGGGGATTGGAAGCTCTGTCTATCCTAATGGAGGCTTGTCAGCTCCTGGACTGGGTCAGCCCTGTTCCTGTCAGCAGTGCTTGTTGGTCCTCAGTGTGAAGACCAACACAGGAGGAGCAGGGGGTGGGGCAGCAGGGATACAGACTCTTGGCAGACGCTCACTAACCATGCAGCGGCCGAAGAACTCAGCACCCATGGCCTCCAGACCTCTGAGTCCATCTAAATCAGCCACTCTGGGACGAGGACAGCAGCAAAACTCCAACTACTACCAGACGCTGCCGCACGGCCTCGCTATCTCTAAAAACATAGCCTCGCCAAGACGAAACGCCCAGCTCTTCGCTCAGTCACTGGCCGCCCTCACTGCTGGCACGTCCTCTCTGGGTGTATCTATGTCTTCCAACAGGCCTCCTCCGCCATCCCTCCCGCCTCCTCAGCCTCCATCATCCAACCCCAGCATGAACCCTCCATCCATTCCGGCCAAGCACTCCTCATCCTCAGCCGATTCTGTGCCAACTGCCACATTAATAACCCCCGCCTGCAAGGTGACCACACCCCCTTCTCCTGTGCCATCTCCGTCGCCAGCGGTATTGAAGCCGCAACGCGCGCCATCGTCCGCATCAACAGTGTGCCATGCCCCGTTACCACAGAGGTCAAGCTTAGCCGGGCTGAGCAGACCAGCGTTACAGAGGATTGCAATGGCTCAGTCCAGAGCGCTCATAGCATCAGGGTGAGTGAATGAAACACACACACACAGAACCAGGAGCTTGATTAAAAATTAGTTTTTTCACTTTAATCTCAAGGCACTGTCATTTTTATGAATTATACCCACAGAGTGCAAAGTTTGAGACAGTGGAACTATTTATTTTCATCTCATTTTATCCTTGCAGTGTATCTCATCATATTTGACATTATTCCATATCATGCAGTCCTGTTGTATTCATTCTGTGCACTACTCTGCAATGACAAATACCCATGTGCATGTTGAAACATGCAAATAAACCAGCAGGCCTGGGCGTGCAGCTCTAAATATTCACATTCACACTAACATTTACCCAAACAACTCTCGTCACGCCCACTGATGGGTGTCATGTGTGTGAGTGTTGTATTGAGTTGTGTTGCTCTGCACTGACTGTGAGTAGTGTGATTGCAGGTGTGATTCTCCAGATTCTCATTCATTCCTCTTGAAAATGTTCTGTTTTCTTTGTGTTGTTGTCCAAGTGTATTTTGGGCTGTTTGACCTGTTTGGTGTGAAAATGAGATTCAGCAGCACCCCCCCTCTATTCATGTGTCTTGTGTCAACTGAACCAGAAGCCAGTGAATTGGGGATTTTAAAGGGTGAAACACATTTGTGTGTGTGTGTCAATTTGTTTCGAAAACTATTTAACACACATGGTATGCAAGGTTCAAAGAGCAGCAAGCAGCTCTGTCTCAGGTCTCAACCATTAGCCTCTGATCACACAATGACCCTAAATATACAATTCAGTTGAACGATCATAGTGAGTCACCAACACATCTTTAAAGACAAATCTTTTAAATCTCCTTTTCTCTCTGTCCATCTTGCCGTAGTAGCACTGGAACCACAGTCCAGTGTTTTGCATTTTCAGTCTGTCGGTTGAATTCAGGTCTGTGGGTTCATGTAGTCAGTATAAGCTGAGATACTTTTGTTTGATGGTTGATAATAGTGTGGAAATACTTATGGTAAAGAACACAATGAGTCAGCTGACACTGCCAACCAGCTGCACAAGGCAATGGATTTGACACAAGTGAACTGCACGACTTAGCTGCTCTCCTCCCCCACCACCTCTCTCCACTCAGCCTGAACATGGTCAGGATCTTCTCCCCCACATATCCCTGAACACCTGCTCCTTTTTTATCCACTCTTGCGACCCTAACCTCCTCCTCTCCTTCCCTGTTCTCTTTTATCATGTATCTCATCTCTGACTTTCTTCTGAACGATAACTTTCCAACTAAATCTGTTCAAAACCCCTGTCCTGAACTGATGTCTTTTATACCTCTGCCTGCTGCCTTGCAGATCCATGTTGAAGACGTCCTTCACTTTCATTCTTGTATCTTCTCATGTCAGTGGGTCTGTTTCATGAATTGACTTTAATCCACTTGATTTCCATGCTGCTAAAGTTAGTATTATTATTTGGAACATGAACATGCACGTATACAAAAGACTTTAGACATTTTTGTGATGCCTGCTAATTTTGTCAGCCTTTCTCTATGCAGTGGATTTTATCTGTGGAGTTCGTTAATGAAGAAGTGTAACAACTCGATGTGCGGAACACAGCACCACAATAAAGCAATCGTGCAAATAATTTAATTAACATTACGTTATCATCTATGTTAATATGAGTGTGGTGTAAAAATGGTTTTGTTTCATTATGAAACTGTCACAGGACTAATCAGACTGTGGTGCCAGAGTCTATAGTTATTAAATGAGGAACCCTATCTGTAGATGACAATGTGTCTGTTGCTCTGTCAGTTGGTCAACCACTTTGGTCCTGACAGAAATATCACAACAATTGTTGGATATATAACATGTTTCTTGTATAACTGTAATGTATAAATCCTACCAACTCCTTTACTTTTTCCCACCACAAGGCTCATATTTGTGGTTTTGAGTGAAATCTCTTTACAAATGGATGGTTTGTTGTGAAAACTAGTGCTATGGATCACCAGTGTCATAACAATGGAAGGAGGGCTGTCATCCTAATGCCACATCCATATTACTAGCTCTCTTTTCACGCTCGTATTTTGGCTCCGTATCAGTTTAATCCCCCTCCATACCAACATGCCTGAAAATGCACATCACGTAACTGCTCACGTACATTTTCACAGCTTGCTCGAATAATAGCTTGTCTCCTATGCATGTAAGCAGTTGTTTCATTATATAATGCAGAATTTAGCTGCACAACGACTGTTAGCAAAGCCGACAGGGTCAGCAATGGTTGTAACTAATTATCTGTGTTGTGTTCTGCGTCGACCTGATTAATCACAGAAGGCTATTGTGAGTGTCTACGTCATCATTTCCAAACATCTCCATTTCTGCCCATCCCGACTAAATCACAACCTCAGTTCAAAAACTAAAATGGAGCCAGCAGTGTTTCTAAACGTCTTCATGTTAGCGACTCTAAACCTCCAGAGTAGTGTGGACACCAGGCGTATCCGTGGCAGAGTTGATGCGTATTCAAATGAAAACGTAGTAGTGTAGATGTAACCTACGAAAGAGATGCAACCTTCACAGTATCACCATGGAGAGGAAAGTGCTGCTCATTTTAATTGAATGAATACTAGATTTCAGTGTGACATTTCCAACTTTTAGTCATGATGACAGACAACAATGAATAAAGCCATTTCATGAAAGGTCGTTTGAAAACAGCAGGTGTTAGTTTCACTTCTTTTGTGAATAAGTGATGCAGAGTTCTATATCACTTCGAACTGAAATCAAGGTCAGATAGTTTTGAGTTGTAGTCCCCCCCCCCCTTGGCCCTGTCACTCATTCCACTTTCCCCTCCTCCTCCTCTTCCCTGGCTCCTCTCCTCTTGCCTCTCCCAATGCGTCTCAGCAGTCTGGGCCCCTCAGAGCCTCATTGTTGGTCTCCACAGTAACCTTTGTTGGATTACCCAAGTCTGTGCTGCATTAGCAGCACAATGTCAAGCCTCCACTTCTCTCTTCTTTCTGCTCTCCTCTCCTTCCCCCCCCTCCCTCTCTGCTCTGGTCTTTTCATATTCTCTGCCTGTTCTTTCTTTCCTTTTCTTCATCTGTATTTCCACAACTTTCTTGATTCTGATGCGTTTTTGCTGTGTTCATTTCTCTTACTATTTAGGCTTTCTGAGTTCCTGGCTGTTTAAAAAAATATCTATCTCAGTTAAAATAGATGCCTTACTTCCAGACTTACCCTGATAGTATTTTATTGGAGTATTTGGATTGCTTGGGCTGGGTCGAGCGATGTAGTATGACCCCTCATTTAGATGACTTTACTGATCCAGCATATTCATAATGTGAATATTTGTTGGGTGGGGAAGAGACAGACAATGATGCTGGCCCAGTCAGCATTGTTGCTACCCCCAGACAAACACAATTGTGTGTGTGTGTGTGTGTGCAGAAAGTATCAGACTCAGACAGGGGCCTGAGACATAGGACTGATGGGAAGGGGGTGGGGGGTACAAGACAAAGAAACGAGTCAGCAAACTGTCAAAGATTGATCACACAGTGGTGCAAGAAATCAGGACAACACCACAGTGAGAGGAGGAGGTAACACATGCACACTCAGAAAGTGATGCCCGGCTGTGAAGGGATTCACCAACACGCACGCACGAATGCGCACACACACACAGACACAGTGTACTCCTCTCTAAAAGGTAAATATTGACACTTCTGATTGGAGCTGCCATGAAGAATGTGCGCTCCCTCTCCAGTGGGGGATTATGGGAAGAAGACAAAGGAAATGAATGAGTGGTGGAGAAACTGGTATGTTGTGGGGAGGCTGGTGTACACTGCGGCTGCACAGTCTGACTTTGTTTGGGCGGAACAGATGAAAACAGAGAGGCAGAACTGTGCAGTGAGAATGTGTTGGCACCTGTTGGGTTCACCAACAGGCTGCAGCTCCATTCTTATCTCGTCCCGCACAGAGCCGAGCTGTAGGACTCAATCTTATCTATCCTTTTTTCACACATTCAGAGAAAACACGCAGAATGAAACCTTGGACAAAACTGATAACTTTGAATGTTTGAGAACGACTCAGAGAACGAGATGTGACTAGTCTGGTGAATAAAGTACACAAATATCAGCTGGGACATACCTCAACAATCATATTGGCCTTCAACAAATAGTTCCCAGGGTTTGATTTTCTTGATCTCTGTGTGATCTTTGGTATTTAAACATTTCACATTTTTTGTGTTTTACGTTTTTTGAGTATGTTTTAGACATTTAGTATATTGATTGAACAGTAGGCTTAATGACGGAGGGAAGAGATGCACAGTTCCTGGAGACATTCATATGCTCAGCAACAGTAACATCCAGGACCTCTCTGCTATTTTTTCCTTGAAATAATAGAATCAAGTAGGATCACTGAATCTGTCTTTACATTCTGTATAATTATTTGCTGCGGCTCTGACTTACTTTGAATGCATTATTTGTGTATAAAATACTTTAAATGCATATTCAATGT